AAGAATGATGTCATATTCATCTCTGCAAATTTTAATGCCTAGCAGAACATAGGCACTTGATGCTTCTTAAAATGAAAGGAACATCTTAATGTGATGTAATTCCCAGAAGTATGTTAAAGAGCAGAATTTGATGAGAATTCTACGTGCCTGCCCATCCCATTTGTGCAAAGAAAGGTGAATTCTAACCACTGAAATAAAACTGGGCAGTAATACAAAGCAAAGCACCTGAAGTACAGCTTTGAATAAATCAAATGATATTTCCCAGACTCTGCTCACTTCTCTACGCCAGGTTCTCTAACATCTGCAAGCTGCAAACTGAAGTTTATCTACATTGTGGATTATCAGTTCAAGGACCACCTTTCAAATGTGTTCTTGCTGAGCTCTTTTTAAAGTGGGAGAAAATACTTCGGTACCACTCAGTGGCAGAAGGGGCCAGCTGTGTGAAAAATTTTCTGGTTTATTTGAATTCTCCCTTGGTTCAAGGGTAAGAACTGACACCGCGGCTAAGCAGTCAAGGCAAAGTAAACACTCAAACAACTTGTTAACAGGAGAAACTTTCCTGAGAGGATGAGGACAAGGAAGCGTGTTTCTTCCTTTTGCCAAATCTTTCCTCAACTATTTATTTATTGAAAAGCAGTGAAACAAATTCCAGAGTCAACTTTTAACCCCAGCACATGATCTGGTGCGTTACTTCACAGCTGTCCTTTCAAATGCCATAGCTCATTACTGCTACCTAAACATTACCACACAGGAATATGCTGGTCTTTCTGTTAGGGTAACATGCTATCTGGTGGTTTGGGAGGTTGGAAAGAAATTATGACCATGACAGTCGTTTGCTAAATATTTGTTGACTTGGTTTATATTTACCCATAGCAAGCCTGCTTAGCTTTTTAGAGATTTGTGAAGATGAGAACACGGACCCAGGTTCTGTTGCTCTGTGGGTCAGGTCGCTGGAAATTACAGTCAACAGGCACAAGTTCAACCCGGGTCCAAACTCACTAATAAACATTACTGACCACGAGGAGGGTTAGATGATGTATAAGTCAGAGAATACGCATTAGCACTGTTGAATACTACTGTCATTTTCAAAAGTACTATATTTTACGAAAGAGGAAACTCTTAATATTAGAGTTATTGCTATTTGACTAGTAACTTACTGGAAAACCAAAAAATATATTTTAACATATTTTTTAAATATATATATCTAACATCCATGTGCAAATATACATAAGTATATACTATAAATGTATATAAGAAATGCATTTTATATTTTAGAATTTATATACACATAAATATAAATGTATAAATATACAACATTTCCCTGCACTGCTCTAGCAAATGAACAATCTGGTCATGTTTATCACAACTGAACAAGGCCCCTACCATCCTTTCACACACAGGCCAGTGGCCTTAACATGTATGTCATCTTCCTTAACCATAAAAATTTCCCCTGGCAAGGGAGACACCGGCCCTAATTTCCCCTGCATAGAAACTGTTATCCCATCCTCCTCTCACCCTCTTTTCTGATCTGGAAACAGTGTGCAGAGAGAAAAGGTTCAGTCAGGGGACGCCAGCCCACTCCATCACCCATCCCTTGCAGAAGGTACTTTGGCCTATGTTCTGGCACACAGAACATTCAGATATCCTCAAGCAAAACTTAAAAAGAGAATTCTAACTTAAACCACATCAGGTAGAACAGAATTCTGATTTAAATCGCATTGTCATTTTTCAGATGTCAAGTGTTTTTCTTACTTGGAATTTTTTTAAGGCACCCAGTGTGATTAACATAATGCCTGGTGATATTTTAAACAAAATAGTCAAGGTTTTTTTTTTCCACAAATTCTGCAATGAATATGCTACTTTTTCAGGTAGAAAACTGTTAACCGTAAGTCTCTACAAATACTCATTGACAAAAAACATACACATGCAACACAGAAAATGTAGAATTCACAAATGTACGAAAAAGAAAAGTAAACATGATGATTCCACCACCTGAAGACAATACATCAGTATTTTGATACATTTTCAACTAATCCTTTTCAGGATTTACATAGCTGAGATCATGACACACATGCAACATAGTTTTAAATCCTGTTTTATTCATTTATCATCTATTGATCATGTTTACTTATTAAAACTATTCATAAACATAACTTGTAACGGCTATCGACACTTTCTTGAATGGATGTACTTTAATTTGCTTAGCCATTCCCTACTGGACAGTTAGGCTATACCTTTTTCACATATGTGTGTATATACGTATGGTTTTTTTATTTTTTTTGCTGTTACAGATAATGCCGCTATGAGTATCTTTGTCCATAAATCTTTAACCACTCTTCTAATAATGCCCTTAGGGTTGATTTTTAAACGTGGAATTATTGGGCCAAGGAGTAAAAACACTTTCAAGACTCAATATATAGATTGCCAAGTTATTTTTCAAAAAGATGGCCACAAGGTGCAACGCCATCCCCAATAACCACCATCATCACAGTGAGAGGCTCCCACTTGCCAACATGTTACTTATATCCTTACACTGAGATAAGCAAAGTATGGATTTAAAACATGAATTTGAGAAATTAATTAAAATATCTGATAGGGCATAAAGCAACATTCCTTG